CAGGCCACCGCGGTGCTCCGCCACAACGCGGAGCCCGCGGGCTGGCGGGCGTACTTCTCCGTCGCGAATTGCATCCGCGGGATTGAATGCCTCTGCGCGGAGGTCTTCGGCGTCCGCCTCGTCGCGGTGCCGTTCACCCCGGCGGAGGTGTTAAGCGGGGATGCGTTGAAGTATCACGTCTACGACGCCGCCGGGGGGCTGCTCGGGGTGATCGTCCTCGATCTCTACGCGAGCCCGATGAAGTACTGCCAGGCGGGGCACCTGACCTTGCAGCTGGGGTGCCGCCCCCACGCCGGGGCGCTCGCCCGGGTCGGGCTCACCCTTCCTTCCCGGCAGCTCCCGGTCGTCGTGCTCACCTGCAATGTCGGCGCCTCCGGGCTCCCCCCCCGACGCGCGGACGGCCGTTTCGACGACGAGGCCGTCTTAATTCCGCCGAACGAGCTCACCACCCTCTTCCACGAGTTCGGCCACGCGATGCACACGATTTTCGGCCAAACCCACGTCCACAACCTCGCCGGCACGCGGTCGAGCATCGACTTCGTCGAGACCTTCTCCCAGCTTTTTGAGCAGTTCCTCACGTCGTACGACTTCCTCCGGCTCTGGGCGCGGCACGTCGAGACCCACCAGCCCATCACCCGCGATCTCGTTGAGCAGCACAACACCGCGATGCGGATGTTCACCCATCTGAGCACCCTCGACGCGGTGATGCTCTCCGTCGTGGATCAGGTCCTCCACGGGCCGAAACCGCTCACGGTGTATTCCCCTACCGAGGATGGGGGGTTGCAAAACCGCCAGCTCGGCGACTTCGCCGATTACGATCGCGAGAATTTCGACCTCGCGAAGGTCCTGATCGAATCCACCGCACCCTTTGCGGTGGCGCGGTTGAGCGAGGAGGGGGCGCTGCACGCGCTGTCGTTCGAGCACCTCTCCGGGTACCCGGCGGGGTATTATGGGTATTTGTACAGCCTCAGCGTCGCGCGGCGGATTTGGCAGAAGAAGTTCGAGCGCAACGCCGTGAATCGGGAGGCAGGGGAGGAGCTGGTGAACAAGGTGATGCGCTTCGGCGCGGCCTGTGATCCGGTCAAGACGCTCGAGGGCTACTTGGGTGAGAGTTTGAGCGATATCGATTCTTGGGAATGAATGGGTGTGGGGAGGGGGTTTTAAGGAAAAAAATATCCCATAACGCGTTTCTCTGTCATTTTGAGGGGAACCTTTCGCGGAGTTTGGGTTTGCTTTGGTGGGATATCAGAAGAGGTGGGATGCGTGGTGCGAACTGAGGACGTTTCAGATTGGTAACCATAAAAGGATCGTTTTCTATTCCTTCGCAGAGATATGTCTATATATATATATATATATATATATTGAATAATATTCCTCTTTAAAGTTTTTGGGAAGGATGGCGAGAGTGATATATGTGGAGGAAAGGACTTTTCACATGAACTTTAGTTATTTTTTTAATTTATTTTCGCCATGAGATATCAGATTCGATGAATCCACAAAGGTCTGCTCATCACTTTGCATGCCGTCTCTTTTCGTTTTCAAAACTTTCCATCCCTTGTCTCGCCATTCATTGCGAGTAATTCCCAATAATGTTCTTTACTAATACGCATGCTCATAACCAACTAGCCAAGGAGGCTAGACAAAGAAAAGAGGAGGTCATCGTCGATTCTTCTCATTCACGTTCTAGTCTGGGCGCGGGTGTATTCCTTTGCGCTCTTCTTTCGAATGGGGTTTTTATTCAATACAGTTAAAGGATGTTTACCAGTTTTCCTCAAATTTCACTCGACTTCTTTCTTGCCTCCGCACTTCCTCTCACCTATCTTCTTAACTACCGCCTTTTCACTGCAGAAGCTATAGCGAAGAAGCCTACACTGGAGGATAAAAGTCCCCTTCTTATTTTTTCTCTCATTCATAAAAAGAATCTGACGTTTTCTTGTTTTGGTTTTGATTTCCAACCCCTTTTTTTCTTTGTGTTTGCTTGGCTTTTTTCCCTTAAAAATACTAGAATATTATCGACTTTCTATAGGATATCTCTCTATATATAAAAAGAGAGCGTACTACTCATATCAAGGCTCGCGGATGATTCGACGGACGTTTGGTTGCTTCGTAGCGTCGAGTGCGCGCACGGGTGGAGGGTCGGCTCCCGACGCGACTCCCTCAGCCACCGCTCGCACAAACCGACTTTCCGTCCTCCACAAACTCCTTATCGGCGAGGTGCAGTTTCGCAACCGCGCGCTGCTGAAGGTATGCAACCTCGAGCACAGCTTCGGCGCGGGGTGGCGGTCGGAAATCGAATCTTACACGGCCACGCTCCCTCCCTCCGATGCGAATCTCCTCCGCCGGCAGCTCGCGCGGGTGGATCTCACCCGTTTCACCACGCGCGAGCTCGCGATGTACGGCGGGGAGGGTCCAACGCACCTCGCGAGCGTCGCCCGGGAGGCAAATCTCGCGCAGGGAAAGGCCTTTCTCGACGCGAAGGGCGTGAAGGCGTTTGAGGCCTACGTCAAGGCGGAGGCAACGAACGCGAACTGGTCGCAGGCCGATCGGGATCAATTCATTAAGGATGTGAAGGCTTTGAAGTAGATGAGGGGATGAGGGAGAGTGGGGGAGGAGGCGGGGGAATTTCTAAACCAAAAATGAAAGGTTTGGGGTTCGCTTGGCCTCTAGTTCTGTTCAAACTCAAGAAGAGGTTTGAAGGTTTGACGGGCAGCTCTCTGTTGGGATTTAGTGTATTAGTGTTATAGTATTTAGCGATGCATATTTTACGTTTTTCCCATTTGGGACTATAAGGAAATGTGATAAGAATTAGCAAAAGGGATTTCCCCGCTAGTGTGCAGGGGGGTGGGATCGATACTTAGTCCCACCCTGCTTCTCAAGAAAGAAATACGTATTTTTATGTCTTTAAATCATAACTATCATGTGGATATGGTGTGGGGTGCATGGGAAGAGGAGGTATTAATTCTTTTTTATAACTTTTGACACTTTTATTCCTTCTTTCCTTTTTTCTTCCCGATTAGACGTTCTTTGCCCATACGTGATCTGTAACGCAAGGTAAACTGAACTAAGACGGCCCGTGTTTGCGATCTTTTTTTTTATTATTATTTTTAAATCAAAGAAGGATTCAGTTCATTAATTTTTGATATCTCGATCAGCAACATTTCTTTTTTTTTTTTGCGTTGCTTTCCATTATTAGTCCACAGCGTGCGCAGATGCCATCATCTCACAGGGAACGCCCCCTCTACAAGGTTTTAGGGATTTCACCCAGCTCCACGGTTGAGGAGATCACACGCGCGTATCGCCGTCTTGCCTTGCAATACCACCCTGATCGCAATCCCGATGGCGCCGAGCAATTCAAGGAGCTCTCCAATGCCTATTACGTTCTCAGCGACCCGGTGAAGAAGGGGTTGTACGACGCGACGGGCATCGTCGAGGGCGTTTCCGACGCCTCGGAGGACCCCCAGCGGACGATGAAGAAGCGATCCGACGAGATGAAAGATCAGGTTCGAGGCTTCTTTGCTGTCTACGCCGGATCGGCGGAGGAGCGGGAGGACGTCGTCAAAAGCTACGTGGCGGCGCGTGGCGATTTCGCGGCGATGATTCGCAAGCACCTCCTCTTTGATAACGGGAAGCCTGCGGAGGTTCGGCGGCTGTATGACGTCGTCTGCGCGCTACTGCTTGAGGGAAAGCTGAGGCCGACAGATGCCTGGAATGCGACCACCACGCCCAAGGCGATTAAGAAGATCGAGCATCGGATGCAACGCGAGCGTGAAGAGGCGGAAAAGGCACTCAGGGAGATGAATCTCGAGTCCGAAAACAACGAGACGCACGATAATAACGAGGAGTTATCGCTGCAAGCGCTCATTAAGCAGCGGCAGAAAAACTCATGGGAGTCCATGTTGAATCACATGGAGGCTAAATACATTCCGAATGAAAATAAGGCATCGAAAAAGCGGCCGGCTAAACGGGCGAGGGAAAGCTTACATTAAGTTGTCACTTAATTATTTAAGAAGAACTGAATGTGCATAGAAACGATATCACACACGCATATAATAGAACCCATAGATTGCTTTGGATGCATTAAACATGATAAAAAAAAATTAATTTTCTTCCCTTGTATTTATCCGTTTTCTAATGAGGGAGCGTCGTTTGTCATTTTTGTATCTAAAAACTATTGAAATCCATCACGTGTATCAACACCCTCAGATGGCGCGATGCTTTTCTGTTGCCTTTTTCATTTTCTTTCACCATCCCGTCTCTCTTTCTCTCCATCGTTCCCTCTCTTTTTCCCTCTATCGATCGATCCAGCTGCCCCCCCCCCCCCCCCCCCTATCCCCCCCCCTTCCTCTCAAAAAAAAAAAAATAAAAAAAAATCCCACTTCGATTGCTCTGCCCTTCCCCCCGATCCGTTTCGCCCGCCCAGACGCCATCAACTCCCCTGTACGCTTCCTTTCAGTCGCAGTCGTGGTTCCCCAGCCAACCCGATCCCGCGATGCCACCCATCGGCCGCCGCCCGGTCTCCCTTCTCGCC